GGAGAGATCCATGCATGCTCACAACCGCACACAAACAGGTGTTTACATCCTGGGTTTTTTATTCGGGCACTGACTGAATAGTATGTGCATGTGTGCATATATAGATATATGTAAATGTGTCTGTGTATATACAGTATATATGAAAGTGTTTGGATATGTAGGTAAGGGTATGTTTATGTGTATATGTATAAATTTATATGTATATGGGTATGGTTTTCAGCAATGCTATAGTCATTATAATTATATAGATATGCATTTTTGTTGCTGTGGTTTTGCTATCTTTGTTTTTGTAGGTGTTGAGCCAAGAAGTCGGGTGTGCCGTCTTGTGTTTTCTCAACAAATATTTTGCATATCTTCTAATCTCTCTTTCACTCTCTCATCACATTTCACTTTTTTCTCTTTCTTTTTCTCCCATTAAAAAAAGTCACTGATGCTGAAGAAGCTAAGATACTAATATTCAGAAATTCACTTCTGCTTTCTACAGAAGTGGCACAAAAAAGAGCATTATTTGAAACCTGACCAAAAGGGTATTTTTAATAGTTTCCATTGTCACTGTTTACTAGGGTGCTCAGTTAAAGATGAGGGAGTGAAGAGCCTCTCGAATTGTCAAGTAAAACTCCTGAGCTTGCTATGTGTTACACATTCTAGACTGCCTTAATCTCATCAAGCTCTTCCTAGAAATAGAAAATGTATCCATGGTTAGAGGTTTGAAGAGGTTGAAGACTAACCAGTGCAAGATGAACAAAAAACATATTGTTTACACAAATAAAATTATTGGCAGAGAAACCTGATTGATCGTTGTGATTTCAGAACCATGGACAGTGCTACTGTTTACGTAGCCTAAGGTGTTTGTGTGCCGACACATGCTAACACCTGGCTATGTAGCTAAGCACAGAGATTCAATAGTAAATGTTTACCTCTCATTTGCACTGGGAAATTAACTGAAGTAGCCTATGTTAAGATCAGTATTTGTGCTTTTACAAATAGACTTCACAAGCTGAAGGAATGGCAGAGCTATGGAATAGCAGTCCACTTAAGATGCAGACACCTGAATAATGTGGCAAAAGCACAGCTGCACAAGTGATTTGTCTACGTAGTCCCCAACACACAGGCCCTCATCTTTCATCTCTCCCAGAAGAAGTATCCAGTACTCCATTCATTCTTTTTGCAGCACACCCCACCAACTCTCAGTCCTTTGATTTGTAGTACTTGCTCCAGCGATGTACCATTGGTCATCTGCTCTAATGTCCGCATCACTGCAGCAGAGGTAGTTCTGGATGTCTCGGACAACAACATTTTCTGTTCCTGCATCTGTCCAGACGATCCGTGGGCAGTCACTAAACTCCTCCACAGCCTGTAGAAAGTAGCCCCCTGTCACCTGTGGGTCGCTGCTTGTGTATGCAGCTTTCAACCAAATTATTTTGAGCGAAAATCCATCAGTGCAACCACTGATATAGATTCAATAGGGCTTTAACTTATCGTAAAAATCTACATGCAAGATATAGTTTGGTCCTTGAGCAAAATATTGCCTACAGTTTAGTCTCCTGGAATGACAGATGACTGAGGCGTCAGGGTCCAGGGCTGCAAGAGTCAAACGAACATCCTCTATTTTCGCATGAATGCCATTCTTTAAGCACTTGTTGTACATCCACCTGTAGCCGTGTGGTCTCCCAGGTCCTTCCAGCTGGTGAATGATGAAATCTATTACCTCTCCAACATCAACGTATTATTTACATCTGAGCCTATGCATTTTGAGCAACCGAATTAAGTGTGTCTTGCTAAGAATAATCCCATGCTTCTTTGCAAGTGACTGAAGTATGTCATTGTAATTCATCCCTAGATTGTTATGATCGGTTGTTTGAGCTCTGAATAATTTCCGAACACTGACAACGGTTTAACAGTTTTATTGTTAGAAGGTGTGTCTGGAGGTTGAGSABGSAAGTTCGGAGGCAGCAAATCTGGACACAGAGATGTGGAGTTAGGCTGGCACAATGAGATTATATTATTAAATAAAATAATATAATTCACCAACCTTCTCAGGAGGGACTGGGTCCGTGTGGAAACAACTGTCACAGCTYTTTGGTTCCAGGTGGTGTTGTCAGTGGAGGTTAAGCTGCTGCAGGAATTTCTCAAGGTCAAAAACAAATCCAGAGTCATACACGGGTGGTCAGAGATTGTTACCGGGTTATATGGGGCAGGCTGAGTCGTAGGTCCAGAGATGTGTTCCGTGGTCGAGGTCCAGGTAATCCGATGTGGCGAGGAACCGTTCAGGGGAAAGGCGAGAGACAAAAATCCAAGAGACATAAACAAAGTCGTTACCGTGARAGCAGATGACAGGCAGGATCCGACAAGGACTGAGGCAGGAGACKTTAAACCAGAAGACATGAGCAGGGTCGGGGACACGAGGCAAGAGCAGGACAAGGGACAAGAATGCTGGAAGATCATAGACTAGGCTGATGAAAATCTGGCAAGGGACTGGAGGCTGGAGCTGAGTTTTATACTGGCAGGAACAGGTGAGTTAAATGAGCTGATTGAGTTTTCTGTGACGGGAGGGGCAGAGGCAATGAGCAGACTGAGGAACAGGATGGGAGGGGCAGAGGCAGACAGGAGCAAGAACTGGGTCAAGAGCAGACAGACAGAGACAGAATCATAACATAGATTGAAACAAAATGAAATTAATTCTAACTTGTCCATGTTAAAAATCGTCAGTCTCTGCATGGAAATGAATGCATGAATTTTTTTTATTCCATGTCACAGGACGGGCTCCGCAGCAGGCAGCAGTAAGATCAAGAAGAATTCAAACAGCAGCTGATTTTGTTGCAGTTGAGACTTGGCACTAACACAAACTCCAAGAGCAACAAGATCTTGCAAGTTTTAACAGTTTTGCATTAAATCCTGCTTTGTGTCATTTTTAAGGTTTGTGTATGGTGATTTAACCTGTGACCTTGGAAATACAGCTTATTATATGAAAGCTATAAATATCTCAAGAATTTCATTGTTTGTTTGCAGGTCACAATGACAAACATGGCTAAAGCACTTTAAATCTAATACAAAATCGGTTTGTGTGTCTTTCCACACAGAAGGTTCTCTTCAGAAATACATTTATTTATTTATTTGCCATTATTTTACCAGGCAACTCCTGCCAGGGGCCGGGAGGCAGCCTAACATGCATATTTTTGATGAATTTGACCTCCCTATTCACTCCAATTAAAGTCATGTTGCCAATTAATTAATTTTCTCATTTAATATTTCTGGCTGTTGTGACAATGATGCCACTAAGACTGGCTCAGTTCAGTGATTACCAGCATCTGGCATTTGAAATAAAAAATGTCTCTTAAAAAGGTCAGACAATATTTGGAAACATTGTAAGTGACAGTTAATGGGTCTTACCGGTATATCCTGTTTGTGAATTTTGGGTAAATTAAACAGACTAGGAGTGGCATCACTTGGGTACAGTCTGTGGTACAGAATGTGGTCAATAGCCTTGTCCTGCTCTAGGTTTTTCCGGCACGCTATCATTAACTGGAGAAGTCTCTTGGAGGAGAGACAAAACATTTCATTAAAGAAGAAACTGTCAAGAATACCTACTAAACTTTTTTTATTTTATTGAAATTCAAATTTGATTTGACATTTTTTAAACAAATGTTGTTTATAATATCAGATTACACTCTTGTGCCGTCCATTTATCAGAACTGTTAATGTTCTAAGGATTTACTAATAAACAATCTTGTCACATACAACCACTGCAATGCTTCTGATGTACTGTATATGCAATAAAAAATAAATTTCCAGGTCCCGTTAGATCATAAAACTAACTTATTCTGTAAAAATCAAACATTTTGTAAAAATCAAAAACATGGTAACAAAAAGTAAAGTAATTAGGCTGCAATTCCCTAAAAAATATGTCATCAAACAGCATTTCCAAGAAAGGAAGCCTTAAAGCTACAGTGAACACACGTGTGGCATCCTAATGTCTGTCATTTATTTTCACTTTTAGTCAGGAAGATTCCACTGAACTATGAGCTCTCCCATTTCCAGGGACTCCTGCTCTCATATACATTTGAAATATAAACAACACCCTTTGATTTAAAAAAATCCAAACAAAGTTTGAGACCAAAAAAATTTCAAAGTGCACTAAATAGACAGGATGTCTTATGGACTGAATAAATATTTACAAAAAGTTGCAAGAGTTCCATGGACTTCAATGTTATACATTTAGTGCACTTCACTGTGTGCAAATGAAGGTATTTATATTTAGTTATACAAACGCAAAATGCATTTTTCCTAAAATATGCACTTAAAGCTAAAGTCATTTATCTTTTTAATTGAACTAAAATGTTTAGAAGTGTGGCATTATTCTGTTACCTTTTCTGTTGAGATTCCAAAAGAGAAATTGTTATTGACAGTTAATTATTCCTTAATTATGGCAGAGCAGCAGAACTTTATTTAGGTAGTTTATTACATGCATTATTCTCTGCTTCAAAACATTATCTGATCTTGGATTTCTAATTCAGTGAAATGACAGAGGTTTAATTTCAAACAAATGTCGCCATCGTGTGGTCAACGTTTGCTCCTACAAGTGAAGAGCATCTGGCTTGTAAACCAACCTTCTGAATGTGCAGGCTTCCTATTGGTCAACCAGTGGCGTCACTACCTCGAGCTTGTTTCTAATTGGTTGCCTCAGCACCAAATACCCAGCAAGTTTTATTTGCATTTCTGTTAGCTTATGCTATAAAAAAGAGGCTTGACAATCAACAGGTTAGTAATGATACCGCTGTTCATATTAATCACACAAACCCTCTCACGATGAATTGGGTGATTAAATACTCGCGCGCCTGATATCTATTCTTAATTAAGTTAACGCTAATTAGCCGTTGTTGTGATTCATTTCGTGTTAGCTGATTGTGTTTGTGTTAGCAGCGTGAGGTGAATGTTTTGGGAGCGTTGTGCAGCCCGCCGCAAATTAAATTGTAGTTTTCTGGTGTCATAAACAGCCCCCCCTGCTTTGCTTGGCTTGTCTGCCCGTTCATTTTAAATGTGGCGGTTTGCATCGTTGGTGAAGTGACGACGTGGAGGAGGCGCGGTGCGAGCCGTAAAGCTAGATCACGTTGCTAGGCAACAGTTAATCCTCATAACATGAAGCAGACTTTCTGCTGTAATTAAAGCTATTTAATTGCTTTCTGCACATACTGACTATATTAATTTATTTGTAGCTTTTACTTATTTTGCTTGTGATAGTTCTAACGATTAGCGAATAATAAGTTGTTAGTGTTACCATGGTGGTAATTATTCACCGCTGACCTTAGCTAACTTACAGGCGCTTGTGTTTGATGTGTTTGTTGTCTCTGCTGGGAGCGCAGCTGCTGGTTTTACTGACAGAGGACGCCTTTAAGGTACGTTAGCATCACTGACAGCTAACCAACACCACGGTGTTAGTTGCAGAAGAGAAATGAGATAGCTGCGTTATGTTTACCTAAATCTGGTCCTCATATAATGAAGCGACACCACAGTGTGCTGGCAGCGCTTCTAATCCGCTTTCTGTGTCTTATTTTAGGGATGGGAGAGCCGCCTGTGGTGACCCCTCAGCAGCAGATGAGCGGGAGGTAGTGGATGCTGGACTGACATAAAAAACAATGAAGAAAATATTTAGCTTCACTAAGAAAAAGAAAAGCCAGTCTGGAACGCCTGATAATGGAAGTGTCCTTTCTGCTGGCTATGACCTGAAGGAGAAGGATCTTGGGAAGGTCCACAAAGCTGCTTTAAATGGTGATTTGGCAAAGTTAAAGCAACTTGCAAAGAAAAATGATATCAATCAACTTGACAAGGAGAACAGGTGAGTCGGTATTTGTTAATACCTACTGTGTAAAATGCAAGTCTGCTAACAATCTGCTTTCTTGATATTTTTGTGCTTTTGCTACAATCATACATTTTTAAATTAATTGATTTTATAACCAGACTGCAAAAAACAATGTCTTATATTTGAAATGTGATCTACAAGGATCCTGTTTTTTTGTAGTGCGAAGTGGAAATGTGCATGACACCTCTTTGTTTCTTCTTGTGTTTCAAGAAAGGATCTAATTACAATTTGTACATTTAGCGTGCGTCAGAAGTGCTGTAAGAAAAGCACTTGAAATACCTTTCGTTCTGTTTTGAAATGAAGAAAATCCCATTACCACCATCAAAATGTTTCTGTTTGCAGAACTCCACTTCATCTTGCTTGTGCAAATGGCCATGCTGAAGTGGTGCAGTTTCTTGTTGACAGCAAAGCCAAGCTTAACCTATGTGACAATCAAAATAGATCCGTCTTAATGAAGGTAATCCTAGATTCTGACTATTCAAAAAACTGTGAATCTAAATTAAATCATGTTTACCTGTTTTCCTGTATTGAAATTTTCCAGCTTTTGGCCCCATTCTTGTCTCTAAATTATGTTGACTCTTGTGCCCAACAGGCAGTGCAGGGTCAACATGAGCGCTGTGTGAGCATATTGTTGGAAAATCATGCCGAGCCAAACCTTGTGGACATCAACGGCAATACAGCCCTCCATTTAGCAGCGAACATCCCATCCATATCTACAGCTATACTGTTGTTGCAGCATGGTGCGGAAATCAATACACAGAACAAGGTAATTCTGTCTCTCTTTTTACTATTTTACTGCTCTCAGTCAAACATTAGGACATCCTGGTTTAACATAAACACAACTTCAGGTTATCACATGGGTAATGCAAGGGATCAGGTAAATATACCTTTACAATATATTTCAGTTGTTTTTATTGCAGCAGCTAACTTAGGTTTCCAGGAAGGGTCTCCTAGTTTGTGCACCAGAAGTGGTTTGAACTCAAACTTTTGTAATACAACCTTTTGCACTGATGCATTGGTACATTAAACTTTTTTGGTCATGGGCACATTACAAGCGTCTATATCATTACAATATTATAATTTCTTAGCATCTCAGTTGGGGATATTGACACTACACTTACAAAAGCGTTGTTACCAGCCAGACTTTGAACTCAGTCTGTGCAGTAAACGCAGAGCATCACATTGGCTGTCATATCCTGATCTATAGAAACCGGGCTTGCCAGTTTTTCAAAAATCACATAATTTGGCCTTTTTGTACACAGATCTGTTGAGTTGGGAATGTTTCCTGGCACAGGGGAAGCAGACGTATGTATATTTACTTGCTCTGGTGCTGTAACTTCATAGTTAGAGTAGGGATATGTACAGACAGTGTTGCATTGTTTTTACAAAGGCAGTCTCTGTCTTCATCATGTTGATACCTATAGTCCGAGTTTGACTTGTTGTATCGAGTTGAATTGCCATAACATATGGTTTTAAATACATGTTCTGTATCTGTCTAGAACAGGGCTATTCAACTAAACTGCTACACAGTTACAGCAGGCCAACAGCTCAGGGACCAAACATCCAGGAATTAAAGTCATTATGTAAATAAACCAAGTATTACAAAGTTCTGTTACCTTTTGAAATAGTTTATTTAGCTGCATTTAATCATGAATACAACATACAGAACCCTATGGAATAACAGCAGTGATAATAAAACAATATCAAAAACAAAAATAACACACTATTTAACACATATTATTTTAACATCTTTGACTTGCCAAATTTTTTAACCAATTTTATTTTCACTTTCATAGTTTTATCTTCAACTGTTTGGAGTTTTAACTGTCTTGAGTGTTCGTAGAAATGGTTTTTACCAGCTTGTAGCCAAGATTCTGATGTTTCTGTAGATACTGTACCAAACATGTCTATCATTATCAGAGTTAAAGTGGAAACAGGGGGTTTGGGTTTAAGAGATGAGTGAACCAGTTGGTGGGCCGCATTTTGGTCATTCGCGGGCCAGATGTGGCCCTTAGGCCACCAGTTGAATAGCCCTGGTCTAGAGGGTTATGCTGCATTCACACCGAACGCGATTTCAGCTTCAAAATCGCAGCCAACGCTGAAGTTTGAAGCTTGTGCACTTTGAGGTCAGACGCAGGACAGCTGCGCTGCACGGCAACAGCCTCCCCGCCCCTCCCTCCTCTGTCGGGCTCTGTTTAATGTCGGACGAGGAAGTGGCTTT